TCTTTCTGTGACTGCTGCTGCTGCTGCCAAAACTCGTCATTTTGATCATAAAATGTTCATATTAACCCTCTCTACATGATCCTGGTGTTTTTATTTCCCTATTTTCTCCCTAAATGCAGATATGAACATATATATATATATATAATAATCTACTGATCAGCCGCCTTCTTTCCCCGAGGTCAATCCTGCTAATTAGCAACAAGTTTGATTGACAGCTTTGCCAAGTGCCCTCCTTGTACCCAACAAGGAGCGAATACCTTCAAAAACGTCACTTCTGATTGGCTCTTTGGCTGCTATGATACATCTGCTCGGAACTGCAAATATGGAACTTGGCTTCAAATTAGACACTGTAACTGCTACCCTTAATGAGCTTCATTTGGCAAGAACCAAACAGTATGGGCACAAGCACGGATATTTGTTCAATCAAATGCACTCTTGGAATATGAAATCATTTTTACTGATAAATACTTGCAAAAAAAATAGTGAAAACTAGAAAAGCACTCAGAGTCCGCCAAGGACTACCCCCATTTTTTATAGAAATTGCGATAAAATCAGACTTCTGGATCAGATCTGGATCAGCCTTTGGAATATGAAAGAGGATCCCATTGTCCATCCCTGAGTCAAATTTCATGGGGTTTGGTCAATAATTAACCGAGATATTGAGAAACAAAATTTTTGGCCCCATTTACCACAATGTTAACTAAAATTTCAAAGTGATCCAGAATCCAGGATTTCTCCCGGATCACCCCCAAAGTGAAATCAGTTCTACCTTTTCACATTTCCAACAAATCCTGAAAATTTCATCAAAATCAGTCCATAACTTTTTGAGTTATGTTGCTAACAGACAAACAAACAAACAAACAGACAAACGCCGGCAAAAACATAACCTCCTTGGCGGAGGTAATGATGTATTTAAACTGTTAATAAACTGCATAACTAAGACTTTGGTGTTAGACCAAAATCATCAGTTGTTTCAGTTTCTGGAGTGGTCTAACTTCTGGACTGGCATCTGTTTTCACTGTAAGCAGCAGATAGTTGAGGTTCCAGTGATACAAAACACAGCCGTTTCTGGTTTTCACCGTCGCATCTTCTGTGCATCTCTTTTAAGCTTTGTTAACCTGCTTCAGTCACGGTACACATCACACTCCAGGCTGCACACACAAGAGCTCCCCCAGGGAATTTAGCACTCCTGCTCAGGATGGAGTCAATCATATTCAATGACACCATGTGATGGTTGTAACTTCCACTGCTACTGGACACATTAGTCCAACTTTTTGAGGTTTTAACTATGTAACATTGTAGGAAGGCTGGCGCCACCTAGTGCCTCCGCTCAATTCATTTCTCTCCAGCGACTAGGTCAGGAATCAGAAAACACTAGACGGTTTGCAAGAACCCCAGAAGTTGTAGACAGTGCACCGGCCAATCAGCGAAGAGCTCTGAAGCCGGCAATTATTTGGACAATACCGAGCATTGCGGCACATTACATAGGTCCTGACCAAACAGCAACTGGTAAAATAAAAAAGTACCCGCCTACCGTTGAGCTAACGAGTCCTGATCGTGTGAGGTCAGACGGTTTCCACAAAGTGAAACCAACTGATGAATCAGGCTAGTAACATTGTTCCCTCATCAAAAACATACTGGGAGTTTTTTGTTTTGTTTTTTTTCCCCCCTTTTGCTTTGTTTGATGAATTGTTGTGTAATAAGTCTGGTCTTTCAAAGCCATAAAAAATTTTGAATTTCCCAGTTTTGTTACTTCACAGGTAAAAGCCAGAGTCCTCCCTAAATCAAAATCTGAGCATTTCTGGTGTCAAATTATAATTGTCATTATAACTGCATGTGAGAAAATGTTGCTAACCCTGGTTATGCAATATTTCAAATAATAATTACCTCCACTGATGGCATCCCAACCCCAGTTCCCCTTGAGCACTCAAAAAACACACACATTTGAATTTCCCAGAATTGTTATGTCACAGATAAAGTTAGATTTTTTTCTCTCTTTATTCTGAGGACACATAATATTATAGAGTGCCATCCATCCATCCATTTTCGTCCGCTTATCCGGGGCCGGGTCGCGGGGGCAGCAGCCTAAGCAGGGACTCCCAGACTTCCTTCACCCCAGACACGTCCTCCAGCTCCCCCGGGGGGACCCCGAGGCGTTCCCAGGCCAGCCGAGTGACATACTCCCTCCAGTGTGTCCTGGGTCTTCCCCGGGGCCTCCTCCCGGTGGGACATGCCCAGAACACCTCCCGAGGGAGGCGCCCAGGAGGCATCCGGAACAGATGCCCGAGCCACCTCAACTGGCTCCTCTCGACGTGGAGGAGCAGCGGCTCTACTCCGAGCTCCTCCCGTGTGACTGAGATTATAGAGTGCCATGGATGTATTTTACCTTTGGATATGGTGACCCCAAATGAGGAGCTTATTCTGCATTTAAATTTGACAAGAAAAACACAAAATGTAAACTTAAGCAACTTTGACATGATAAAATGTATAATTGTGAATGAATCAGCAATGCATTTGTAATGCAAGAAGCAATATTTGATTTGAACGTTTAATTTATATGTGACCTACTTACTGCGTCCATGTAGATATTATTTATTGCCTGAAATTTTCCACCATATGGCATTAAAATTATCTATCTCCATGGACACAAGCAAGTGGCATCTACAGGCCAAGTTAGAAGTCACATCTGTGGAGAGGTGAGCCTGCTCACTGTAAGTTTTGAGGGGAAAAAACATGTTTTCTGTTAAATACATTTTATTGGCATTGCGCATCTCTATGGCAACTCTCACATCCAAAAAGTTACACCTTGCATCTTTAAGACAAATTGCTCTACCTCCGTATGGTGAAGCTTGAGAATTAGCTCATATTTGTTCTTTTCGCAGAGCACATTCAGACACGGACTTGGCTTCACACTTTGCGAAATTTATGTCCACTTTGACGTGACATGTGTTAATGGAGCAGACGCTAGTTAGGCCAGGGGTGTGAGGTTTCCTCCGCTCAGTAAATCATAGAGGATGAGAGGAACTTTTCACTCTCTGAAACTAGATCTGGTGAAAAACGACTGAAGACGAAGAGGAGGAGACAGGACAGCATCAGGAGCAGAGGGGAGAGACCAGGCACAGAACTTTACTGTCTCGGGGGTGGGCAGAGGTCTATAGTAAAAGTGATTTAAAGGACACTAATTCTGCTAAATTGACATGTGAAAAGTGCTTATAAACTCTTCTAGTGACTGGTGAATAACTAAGGTGCCCTGACTGCTTAAGGTAAGTGAGGAATAACTTTGGACAACTGTGAACTGTTTAAAATGAACTAGCTTTGTTTTTTTACAACCACTAACATTCACTCACACAACACATTCCTACTACACAATGTGGGTCAAGTGTTTTGCCTAAGGACATGACAGGATCTGGGATATAAGGAATGGTGTGATTGATCTAACAAGTATGCACACATCAAACTCAATCCCTGCAGCCACATGTTGGTATCAGAAACACCTGTGTGTAATCAGGCTAGTCCTGTGTGATGTCACCAAGTACTTGAAATTGCAGAGGACACTGGAGGCAGCACATACTCCATCATCATTGGGATTGTATTATTTTGCATTTTTTTGGACTATCAAATAAGTTCATAGAGACTGCAAACCAACCTACTTTATATCCTGTTTTAGCTGCAAAACTTTTCTCAAATTCTTTTGTATTTGTTTATATGTTTCATTCAAAATATAAAAAGACATCACCAGTGTCACACCATCAACCATACAAGAAATGAATGAAAAGGAGCAGAAAGAAGAGGAATCTAATGTCATCTGCCCCGTCTTTCCCTTTTCCAGACAATACATCAACATCAATGGTTACTAAACATTTCAAATCGGTGCATTTCAGTTCAGGCACAATTATTAATCAATTACAAACAGAAATCTTCAGTTTTATGCACAACAGCCTAGTTTCCTTTTACATACATACACAGTGCACTCGATTTTATGTTTTTAAATGCCATCATAGTAGTTGATTCTTTTATAACAGTGGTTATTCAATGGTCAAATATGTCACTATGTTTAACCAATTTACATTTTCTTTTATTTTGAGGGGTTGTTGGTTTAACTCTTGGTTTAACTCTAAAACTTTTGACTTTGAACTTCAAATGAACAGTCTGAAACTAATTATGTGTATAGTGAGTGTGCTGTTGTTGTGTACTTTTGTGTGATTGTTGTTGTACTTTCCTTTGTCTTGTAGATGATTTTACATCAACCTGCCGAGGGACTGAAGATGGAAATTAGCCACGTTGGCTATAATCTTTACATGTTTGCATTTTTAATGTTCATTAATATGTACTGTCCCTTTACAAATAAATAAAATAAGAAATATCTTTGTCAAGACTATTCCATAAATTAACTCCTTTCACAGTAATGCTTCGCTCCATAACCTGGGTTCTGAATCTGGGTTTTTTAAACATGTAGGATCCTTTTAAACTGTAGTGGTTTGTTCTTATCTCAAACAGTCTCTGAATATTTACAGTTAACACATTGCACTTTATTTTATACATTACTTTGAGAATACTCAAGTCAACAATATCATGCATTTTCAATACTTTAAGCTGAACAAATAATGGGTTGGAATGGCTCTCTGTAATGACTGTAGGTGGTCTTCACTGAAACTAATGGGATTCTCTCATTAGTGGTAGTGACGCCATAACACTTCATAAACTCACAAGAATCCACCTTGGCCCAGGTTGGTGCAACAAATCTGACAGATGGTGGGCGACCAGTCACAGAGCACGCTCCAAGTGATCGCTTTCATTGAGAGCCTTTCCAGAATGATAATTTGTTGAACTCAATTCAGAGTGACACACAGATGAGTCTGATGTGAGCCTGGTTACAGAAGCATTTACAGGCTAAAGTGAAGAGACCAAATATCCATGCATAATAATAGCAAAAATAGTTTGAGAAAAGTTAGTTCCATTTGAGTAAAATGTGAAAACTGAACCAAATGGAGTGTTTTTACCTGAAATCCGAGCAGTATGCAGAGGTACCAGGGCGGGCGGTCGTTGAGGGCATAGACCAGGTCCACTCCTCCCTCGGCCTCCTCCTCTCTCTCTGTGTGTGGCTGCAGATCCACGCTCAGCTGTGGCCCTGCATCACTGTCCTTATCCTGCACAAAAAGACATACATTGTAATGTTTACATTTCAAATAACACACACCGTATATCACCCACACACCCATAACTTCAAATAAAACACAATATTTAAGCTTGTAATCACTCCGGCACCACAGCAAATCCTGATATTGTCTTTTCTTTCAAAGCAAAATACACCTTAAAGTAGCAGTGCTTTTATCTAGGGTGAGATGTGGTATGAAGGTGAGTTATGGCGGACAGGAAGGGGAGGGGAGGGGGTCTGGCTCTGTGGTGGTCCTGTTTTCAGTGTTTGGGCCGAGCATACATCAGGAGAGTTTGTGAAGAGGAGATGGATGAGACACATGCTGTTTGAATGGTGATGAATGCTGCTCTGTGTTCCCACCGTCCACGGGAGACAAGGCTGTGAGTCTGGCATCAGATCACTACGTGTTTTACCACGGCCTCTGAGAATTCTAATACTAACGGCCATTCATTATTTTTGTATAACCACACATGTAATTGAGCAAAAGGTAATCACTGTTGTAAATCACTGCAGTATAAGCATCACTATAGCAACCAGTAAACAATCAGGCTGTAATGGTACATGTGTTCTTGTTGAACCGTTTTGGTCCGGAATGTTCGGTTTGGTGCAGGGCTGTACACGAGTGAATTTGTGCAATTTGTGTGTGTTTACATTCTGCCACTACATGTGCATCTACACGGAGGCTCGGCTCTTTAATATTCATGAAGAAACTCATCCGTGATTGGGGTGACAGTGTTTCCCGCAGCGCTTTATAGTTAATGCAGCCTCCTTGATAACAATTGCCCCACGCCTTCCCTCCGCACCGTGTGAATCCTCGCAAAACTACGGTCATCACTCCCCATTCCTTCATTTCGTCAGCATGAAATCTCTGCTGCTGTTGCTTATTTGAGAATATTTTATTTCTCAAATATATATTTTATTACCAAGCAGCACTTTGCATTTATTTTATTTTCCTGTTTGTGTAATCTTAAAAGTAATTGTTGGTTTAATAAACACACAAATTAACAACAAGCAAATAGTTATGTATATTCTTCCCATACTGTACCAAAAATTAACCAAACCCTGATCTCAAAACCAAGGTACATACCGAACCTTGATTTGTATGTACCATTACACCGGGGTCAGCCTTATCATCAGAAGACCCTCTAGTCAGAAAATCCATGTTCAGGTAGTGTTTTCAGTGTACCACATTTATAAACAAAATTGTGGCTGCTTTGTTAAAAATGAAATTGTATTTAAAGTTTTAAATATTTTAAAAAGTAAATATTAAAAGTAATAAATATATTAAACCCTTAAAATACAGCAAAAATGTTTGAGGAAATAATGATTTGGGTGGAAATGGCTGTCTGAAGTGTAACAGGGTTAATAATTGTCTAATTTTCAGGCAACAACTTGCAAAATGTTCAGTAATTCGAGCTCTACAACCTTCATTTCAATTTTATTTTAAATCTTTTTTTCTTTTAATATAGCATTGGTGGGCTTGTAAACCAACAAATTAAGTAATGCTGGTCTTAGCTAATGCTGTTATGCATGCTTATGCGTTCCTGTCAATGTAATTTTGATGTTGCAGCCATTTTTAATTGGTATACATCCAAAAGTTTACTAATTCTTCCCTGATTTCCAGGGATTATTCCCTGTTGCTTTCATCAAATATACATTCAATTGTTCAAGAGAAATGTTGCTGACAAACCAATAGAAGAGGTAATGATTTTCTGACTAGTGGGCCTTCTCACTACAGGGCCTTCTGACTAGTGGGCTTTCTGACTAGGGGGCCTTCTGATGATAACAAATAAACTATTGTTAGGAGGGACAAGCTTCTATGAAAACAGAAATAATGAATGCTTTGAACATCCATCGACAACTTTTTAAAAGTGACCTATTTTTAATTTGTGGGTTACAGGAAATAGTAACCTGGCAGCCATACTGAAAAAAACTGTTTCATGTTTTTTTGTTTGTTTTGTTTTGTTTTTTTGCGGGAGGACCCAGACCCCTGGTTTTACAAAGTATTAGGCTCATGGTTTTTAACATTTAACATTTAACATTTGATGAATGAACAAAGTAATGATCAATAAATAAAGACATTGGCAGTATTCCCAGCCTGCTAATAGAGCCATGTGTTTTATGGAGTAGAAAAGATACCGGATGTTATATACAAATGATATATTCCCTCTCTCCTCCACCAGTCTTTAAAAAGAGTCCGGTCACAACATCAGCTCAGAAGAAGTGCTGTTAACTTCATTGACCCCAAACACGAGCCCAAACTCTTTAAAGTGTGATAGGCGGCAGAGTGGTTAGCGCCTCTCCACTCACCTCTCTCTCCCCTGAGCCTGTGCTGTCTGGGCTCTGCTTTGAAGGTGAATCGTTCGTGGAAAAACTCATTTTTCTGAGTCAAATGAAACAAAATAAAGACGTAAAACAGAGGCTGAGTTCACGTGTGGTCCGCCTTAAAACCATAAAGGTCCTGTAACTGATTATTTTCCCATGGATTTGAGCAAAATAGTCTTTCCCTAGTACAGATAGAGTGTATAAGCAGCTCTTAAGGTCAAAATATGCCCGCTGTGCACTTGTAATTAGTACAGTTTTATTGTATGATAATCAGGAAATGCTTGGTTAGCCTGCTAGTTGTTTTTAGCGTTGATATTATATGTTCGGCGTTTCGTATGTATTTTCACCTCATTATATTGTATGTGATTTGACAATTAGACAACACTTCCATATCAGTTAATAGTACATATTTAAAGGTTGTATGGAGGATTTTATTTTTTTTGTTTCAAATTGTCAATAAAGTTTAAAATACCATTACAGAGAATGCAGCAGCCTTGTAATTATGATGACCAAAAAAATAGAATGAAAATCTATCAACTGTGGACGTAGTGAGGCCAGATAAACATCAGCCAATAGAAAACGAGGCGACCTCTTTATCTATTGGCTGTTAGGTTGTCAATCAAACTCCCTACGTTTCTAGTGTAACTGACTCGCTGGTTCGCGGGGATTATGTGGTTTATGCAGTGGTTCTTAGAGGCTTTTTCAAACTGTAGCTTCCTCGCAGTTTGCACAAAGTTTGTTGAGATGGCGGACGAGAATCCACGACCAGTTTGCCACAAAAGAAAGTCGCTGGAAGAAGAAGAGAAGGGGAAAATGAGCAAAGCTAAACTGAGGTGATTCTTGGGGATCTCTTCCAGCGATTGAGTGAATGAAGCAGACAAAGGGTCTAAAAACTGACATGTCGGGCGGTAAATTATTTCTAGACAGGTCACTTCAACAGTAATTCTGAACACGCATTGGCTGTAAACAAGCGTGATTTCTAGAGTAAGGAGGCGGGAGGAGATGTTTCTACCGAGGGAGCGGTGGAGGAGGAAGGTGGTGTCACACATGCACAATATTTGAAAAAGGACTGTCGCTGTATTTCTCTTCCCTTAAAAAATCTTCTATACAACCTTTAAGTAACTTCTCTTGTAGGGAGACTTTTCCATGACGATAGAGAAGTTCACATTACATGACTTTATAAGCAACATCTCCATGGAGACAAGAAATGTTACTTAGTGCACCTTTTAAAGTTTACTTGGTGTTTTTATGTATATAGTTGGGGTTTTAATAGTTATTTGGTTTTGAGTTTGTTTTATGGAGTGTTAGGACAATATCTTAAACTAAAGTTCCTACAACTCCCTACAACTCAGCAGCTCCAAATCATTAATCAGTTTAATCAATCCACCTCCCATATCAGCAATAGTCTCAGCTCTTTCACTCTCAACATTAACCGTGTTGTCAGAAACCTCGGTGTCATCTTTGACTCTCACCTCAACTTCCACCTTCACATCAAAAAAGTCACCCAATCCTGTTTTCTCCACCTCCACACAATTAGTAAAATCAAAACTATCCTCTCCCGCCCTGATCTTGAAGAAGTCATCCACATGCTCATCTTCTCCCGTGTAGACTATCGCAACTCCCTACTCTCCGACCTCGACTCCAAATCCATCTCCTGCCTCTGATAGGTTCAGAACGCAGCAGCTCGGCTCCTCACTGGGTTTGACAGACATCAACACATGACCCTGTTTTACTTCCCTTCCCTGGCTGCCTGTATGTTTTAGTTTTAAGATTTTACTGATCACTTTTAAAGCTCATTTATGTCTTGCACCAAGTTAAATTTCAGAAATTTTAACTCCGTACGAGCCTCCCGCAGCCGCAGATCCTCAGGCAGGTCCCTGGGACTGTTCCAAAGTCCAGGCTCCGGACGAAGGCACCTCGGCTTTGGAATGACCTGACTGAGGAGATAAGGCTCGCACCATCAGTATCAGCTTTTAAATCACTTCTTAAAACTCATTTTTATCGGTTGGTCTTCCTTTAACTGGCTTTTGCTTGATATTATTTCTTTTTTTTTTTTTTTTTCTATTTCTTTTCATTTATTTATTATAATTAATTGGATTATTTGCATCAGTTTTTGTATGCTTTCTGGATGCAATTTTTATGTTTTTGTATTGTTCATTGCTTCTTGTATAGCATTTTGTGAACCTTGTTTTGTGCTTTATAAAGATTTATTATTATTATTATTTATTATAATGTAAATTATTACTATCCCTGTTTTAGCTGTTGTAGTTTTATCCAACTAGACAGACCAGATAAAACGCACCTCCACACATCATTCTGCGTTCTGCTGCTGGAGAGGAAACTGCTGTCTGCCTGCACATTGCACCTTACACTTTTTTGCACCTGCACTTTTGTAAACTATTGGAAAACAAAAAGAAAAACTATGGACCACATCTTCACGCCTTTGTCTGTGTTTTTAACCTTTCTCACTGAATCCCAACCTGCTCACGGTCAACCTACATGACAGTCCAATGAGGTTCATTTGGTCTTTCGATAATTCAGGTTATTAGGTTCTTTTTTCAGACCGAGACTGTTTTCATACCTGACAGTTTTGACGGCTGTAAACCGGGACGAGGGGACTTTTTTACTTTCACACACCCGGGATACGGTCCTGAGGAAATCGGACTG